ATGTTAAACATTTTTCTGAGAGATTTCCTGTTTCTCAATCCAGAGGTAAGATGAGCTAACAGTTTTTAGGCAAGAGCAAGAAATCCAGTAAATAGATAGCTATGCTCGAAAGGACACTGTGCCTTGAATTACTATTTTTGAAGTCAATTACTTGTTAAACTGGGTAGTGATTGGACTTTGAAGATCATCTTTGTACAGCTGCGCTGCTGCAGTATGTTTGTCTCCCAACAAAAGGCAAATGAGCCAGCTGAAAATTTTTTAGGGGCCCATTTTTTGGGGCGCTTTGGAACTTGCCTGCCAACCCTCCCCCCCCCCCCCCCCCCCCGCCTTTTTCTCTCTATTTTTTTCTATGTTTGGCTTGAAACCTAACCTACACCAACCACAACCCTGCCTCAAACGACACGGACTAAGGCCCTTAGTCGTTTACAGAGATTTTGATTATTTTTTTCCTATTTCGGCCAATACAACTTTTATGATGCCGAAGTTTGAAAAGCTCTTCTATTAAAGATTTTTGTTTATTTCATAATTACATGAATGAGGAAGTAAGAAAAAATTTAGAAGCTATATGAATGAGGAAATAAGGAAGGCAAAATTCATGATGCACTTGGATCTTACCATCCGTCCCTCCAATATGTCCAAGGCTTCCTCGTGAGACCATAACCTACTATACTCCCCCCGGTCAGAATTGTTCCCACGAACAATTTGCCTACCAAGGTCTCTAAGCTGATCATGCATCCTAAACTTACCATCATCTCCAATTTTTACCAAAGACCTGAGAACAAGGACATTAAACCCATTTTTGGGATAAAATTTACAATCATCCCACATGTAAAAAGGATTTATTTTATCCTCTCCAATGAAGAAACATGCAATATCAAGGAATATTTGTTTTTGCACATTATCAAGTGCCCTGTAACTTATTATCAACTTTTCCATGACTTCCTCATGAGGTATTTCTTTTAGCTTCATCAATGTATCATCCCATTCTGCTTTCCCATTCCCCAATAAAAAAGAGCCTAAAATCTCAAGAGCCAGAGGAAGCCCTGCAGTAGTGGATACGATTTCTCTAGAGAGATTAACATAGTCTTCCGGAGGAAAGTCCCTCCTAAAGGCATCTTGCTAAATAGTTGAAGAGAATGATCAGGATTCAACACCGGGGGTTCGTAAGTCTTATCCACTTCAAGTTCATTTAGAACTAATTTGTTTCTTGTTGTAACTATGATCCTACTTCCTGAACCAAACAAATCACGCTTTACTACAAGCTTATCAAATTGATCCTTTTTATCTATATCGTCAAGAACGATGAGAACTTTCTTTCCGCAAACCGTGTCTTTGATCATGTTGATTCCGTCATCAACATTTGCAATGTCCGAGCATTTTCTGTTTAGTATCTTAGAGATAAGTTGCTTTTGCAAATTAATAAGATCCTTGAGTTGTTGTGACGTTTCTTGAACATCTGGAAGAAAGCAACAACATTCAAAGCCCTCAGAGATTCGATTGTAGATGACATTTGCAATGGTTGTCTTGCCAAGACCACCCATGCCATGGATTCCAACAATCCGTACATCATTGGAGTCAACATTTAATAATCCCATCATTTCTTCTACGGGCCAATCAATTCCAACCAAGTTGTCAGTTACAACCATGTAATTCTTCTTTAACTCTAACAAAACCTTCGAAACAATCATCTTTACTAGTGCTCCTTGATGTCTGCCAAATAGAATCGATATCAAGGGGGAAAAACAACAAATAATTAAACTTTACCAAAAAATGAATAATGAATTTTATTTTTATTCAGTTTGGTGTGTCTATGTTGGAGCAAAGAGAATAATTGTGATCGGAAAATATCGTAGTACTCTACGCAAGGATATTCGTATGTTGCTCGCTATCTCAAATTCCAACACCTGAAGAATTAATTAATTAAGCTCCGGTTATTTAAAGAGCCTAATATATCATATTGGCATAAGGTCATAGCAGGAGTGAATTACCCTTTAGTTTCTTTCTTCAATTCCCATCCCTTCAATTGTCCAACCTCTCTCAGAGCCTCCTTCCATCCTTGGACAGTCTTTTCATCGAAATGCTTCTCGTGTAGGCGAAAGGCTTCCTCGTAACTCCCCGTTTGATGTCGTACATCGGATGGCTCGACGTCGTAGAAAATAGGTAAAATCATTTGTCCCATAGTTGTTCGGCACTCGACCATCTGGGCGAGCTCACGGAGGCACCATTTACTAGAAGCATAGCCCTTGGAAAAGATTGGGACGGAGATTTTCGATTCCTTGATTGCTTTGAGAAGCTCCGGGCCGATCACTTCCCCTACGCGAAGTTCATCATCGTCCCTAAAGGTGCGAATTCTATCATCGACAAGATCGCTGTAGAGGAAATCGGTGAAGCCGTGACGAGTGTCATTGCCTCTGAAACTCAAGAATACTTCGTATTCCCCTCCGGAGTCGGAGTCGGAGTCGTAGCCGGAGGAAGGGGCGGGGGCGGAGGAGGCATCGGCAGCGGCAGCGGAGGCGGCTGAAGTACTGTTCCCAGCGGTGGCGGTAGTTGCGCTTCTTGATCCCCTCTTCTTAAGCATGAGCAAGGAAAGCAGAATCACAGCAATTGTCACAAGACAAGGTAACCAGAACAACCCCGCGTAATACATTTCCACAATACAGGCGTTAAGCAATTCTCTTTCTCTCTTTTCCTCCTCCTCCTATCTCTCTCTCTGAAGAAATTGAAAACCTTTCGCCAGGCTTTACCTTGGATACCTTTCGTGCTGTGTTGATCCTCCGTGTCCAATAATCCGAAAAGTCTAATTTGTCTGGTGCGAGAAAATATTCGTTACAACGGGGATACCCGTGACAAGGTAATACAGTATTAACAACTAATACTACTAAAATAAATAATCATATGAAATTCACAAAAATTAATAATTAATTTGTCATGTAAACAAATAATTTCTTACCCTCTTAAGTTGAAGTAGAGTTCACCTTTTCCATTTGAGATTTTATTATTTATAAGTGATACAATGTCATCAATGGTGACATAGTATCACCGATGCATTCAATATTTACTCTCGAACAGAGTATTCAATCGTTTTTTTTTTCCATCAAATGGTGTTTGGATCATTGGATTTGGAGGATAAGAAGGGAGATTGGGTTAAAATTATCTCGGAGGTAGGACGGCAGTGGATTGAAGCAGGGGTGGGACTGTAGTTTTTTAAAACAGTTAAGTATTTTTCGCCAAAATTTGTCTTTCTTATGGATCCAATACAACATTATGCAATATAAAATAATGTAACATAATATAATCTAATATAAAAAAATATAAAAATATAAAAATTTATACTTTTACAAGTCAAAAACATGAAAAGAAAATAATTTTAAAAAAAAAAATTATTTAATAATATATATATTTGTATTCATAGCAATATTTACACAATCTGTGTCTGAAGGCACGATGAAACATAAATTTCAAACATTTAAAAAATCGTTCTCACTATATTAAATAATAATTTTTTTTCTTAATTTATTTGATTACATCATTTAAAATTTATTTTTATACATTATTTTTTTTTTAAATATCGACAAAAATATGTAATCTGATAAATTTTTTCAACATGTGTATATTATCGTATATGGATAATGATTGAAATAAAAATTATGTTAAACTACAAATTAATCAAATATTAAATGATTAAATATGTGTAGAAATGAGTCGTGGAATGGTTTTGTGGAAAAAATATTTATGGGATAAAATTTTAAATAATTAACTATTTTTATATATATATAANAAATATTTATGGGATAAAATTTTAAATAATTAACTATTTTTTATATATATAAAATAATAATAATAATAATAATAATAACGGGTAAAGTGAGGGCGGGATGAGAGTAAATGTCAGTTCATCCCCGCCTTTATCTCTACACGGATTTATACGAGTATTCTCTTATACGTTCACCGTCCAGTACGTATAGTCTATCCTCGGTCATTGTCATTCCTACTTGGGGCCCACTTATCCCTAGTTTAGCAAGACAATTTTAAAAAAAATAATCGTTGGCTTTGAAAAGTCGGGCCGTATGAATTGGAGGGAAATTTCCCATTTGAGCCAGATATAGATAACCCAGGTGAAGTAGGGGATTTATAACCTCCTCAACAGGATAGTTGAGCAATTTATGTAACACACCCAACACAAAAACTTTCTTGGGTTTATACCCCCTTCACCCACATTTCAATCCAATGCACTGGTCCCCTTGAGTTGCAAACTACCACGTGCTCGCAAGAATGCCCATCTCTCTCTCTCCTCTGTCTCTCTCTCTTTGAGGTCTCCAAACTAGCAACCAAAGTTGTAACAATGTTTTCTTTTTTTTTGCTAGTAAAAAAGAAGGTTGGGTGCACGAAGAGCGCCTAGAAACAACTCCAATAGAGTTTTATTGGTGGAATCATGAGACCACCGACCATACTTGTTACTCCTATTGAGAATAAATCTAGCTTGACTAACATAACGGTCAACTACCAAACTCCAATTTGGATTATAAGACTTGAACCTCTAACCCCAGGGTGAAAAGTTTGAGTGGTACCCCTCTCGAAAATGAGGTTATGTTATCTGCTTTGGATCTTTGAACGAGCATTACGCTTCGACTATGCTGTAAATTATTTAAGATCTATTTAACGCGTCATCTGATTTTACTTGAAAAACTACAATCATGTCCCTTGTTGTTTGTTTTTATGCATAAAAATGCAACATCGACTATTTTGGTCATAAATTGTGTGCATGAAAAATTTTAAAAAATTATTCGATCTTGCATTTTTAAACTGACGGATATAAGAATATTAAAATATTATAATTTTTTTAATTTCATGTAATATACTAAAAATCATAGTTTTGCTTTGAAATAAGTATAACTTATTTTATGACAATCAATATTATTATTGATTGTTTTCAATAAAATATTCCTGCAAACCAATGTTACTCATCATACCTACCCATCCAAACTTGGTATAGAATTGAAAACTATTTTATTCAAAAGGGTGTAACGGTCTTCTCATTTACATTTATTAGGCCATGTGCATGGGGGCCCATGGTTCTAAATTTTCCAATCCAAATAAAGTATTAGATTCGATCAAAATAGTATGATCAACATTTGGCTAGATTACTCTGGATTTCATTGGGTCGGTTTGGACACCAAATCTAAACCAGTTCAATCTTGTGGGTGATTGCCAAACACATCCATAGTCTGAACTTTAGTCCCTAAAATTTTATTTCATCAATTTAAGCCTCATTTGGTAACTATTTTTGTTTTCAGTTTTCAATTTTTGTTTTCATTTTTTTTGAAAACTAAAAACCACAATATGTTTGGTAATATTTTAATACTATTTTTTTCTCTATTTTGAAAATATTTTCAGTTTAGACTAAGTTTTTGATAACAAACAAAAAAATTGTGTCTAAAACACCAAGAACTAAAGTCGGACGGATGTTTTGATTCAACTTAAAGAGATCTTGCCAAAAGATTCTCCATCACAGTCAACCTCCACCCACTATCATTACCCACCTCTCACCACCTAGACCTCCACCACTAGCTAGCCACCACCTAGACCTCTGCCACCACCCATAGCCCACTGTCGCCACTACCATTACCGATACCACTACCACAACCCTCCACCCACCACTACCATCACCCATAACCCACTATTACCAAAATCATTACCACACCCATCAACAACACCCTCCACTATCACTCCACTGCCATTACTGACACTACTACCACCCACCGCCATTATAGCCACCACAACCACCCCCTCTTTCATCACTATCCTTCGCTACCGCACCAGCACTAGCACCACTGTCACCACTTTAGATCACATTTTGTAATTGACTAATTTTGTGAAGTGTAATATAAATCTCAACAATTTTCATGGTCGTTATGCTATCAAATTGAAGATTTGAAAGCGTCATTGAAGGGAGAAGGTCAAGCTTCAAAGCTACCTCACTCACGCTCCGATTTACACCTTCATTCTTATGGGAAAGGTAATGACCTAGATACCTAATATGAACCCTTAGTTACTTTTTAACTTAGGATGATTAAGATGAAAATATAATTGTAAGCAATATGAGTATGACTCCTAGATGTTTTGAAATAATTTTTTTTTCTAAATCATTTGTGTTTTGAAAATATAGATTGAGTCATTATCGGACCCCTCTTCAGTAACACCCTTTAGTGCTCAAGATGATAATTTTTTTGCTTGATTTTATGCTTTAAAACTTGATAGGGACCAATCTATGCTCACTAACGCAGGGTAGAGCGATTTTTTTTTTATTTAAGGAATTATATGGGAAAAAGCCATGAAGGAGTACACATAGCTCGCTCGAGCGGTAGTCACTCGAGCTACACTCATTAGACCTGTCAATGGACTGGATAGAGTTGTGTAAATGGATTCAGAAATGGATTTATAATTACTAATCTATTATTAATCCAATTCGAATAAACAAAATATATTACGTAATTATCGCAATATATGACCCACTTTTTTATTTTTATTTTTTCCCCTTGTTGTTTGATTTTTCCCATTGCTATTACTTTAATTTTTCATTTTTCCTTCTTTTTTTAGTTCATTATCTAAATTCTTATTGTTAATTTTTTGGTATACATGTGTTTTTTGCGATAATTGGATCGGATCAGATTTTAGATCAAGGATTCTAAAATTAATAAATTCAGACATGGATTGAATTTTTCAAATATGTCGGATAATCGAACGACAAAAACTTAATCTGATTTAGATTCGGATATAGGCCAATCTAGTCCATGTTCGATCCATTGGCAGGCTTAGTGCTCATGGTCGCTCAAGCTTGTGTACTCCTACACAGGTTTGAGACGTGATTTTTATTCTAGTGCCAACCTCACTATGACTGTCCTTCCACCGATTGAGCGGTCATTCGCAAATATGAGTTTTCTTAATTTATTAAGACTACGCTTATTTTAGACCTATAAATAGAAAGAGTTTTCCCTACATCTAAGTTAAGCCTCTTATGAGATTTCTAAGAGAAAATCATTTTTTCTATCCTGAGAGTTTCCAGCATAAGCCTAAATCCCTAAACCCTAAGGCTACCAGTAGACTTTCTACGCAACCTCATAACTTAGAGTTGAAGATGTTGATGGTTTGAGAAACTCTTTGGTGTGTATACCGAAAATCGTTGGCATATGCATGGCTGATCAAGGCCTAAATGAACCATGTAGCGGGGAGACTTAATTGAAGCTACGCTAGACGTCAAAGAGGATAAGACTTGAGTACTTGTATATTGACTTTGTGAGTAGTGAATTATAAAATGGTGAACCCCGAGTGGTTTCCCATGATTTTTTCCAAGGAGGATTTTCGTGTCAACAAAATCACTTGTGTCAATATAACATATTTTCATATACACTTGTGATTGTGCTCACACACACGCACTATGTGTTTGTTGGAATAATTGTTTGACATCTATACAACCATAGGTCTGCAATTTTGGGTTTGGGTATTTAGGGTCACTGTGAGATTGATTGATAGTGAATTAATTGAAGATTAATTAAAATCAATCATCATGGTTAATATGGGTTGTGGTGACTAAATGAGTTCTCACATTAATTTCTATATATTTATTGGAAGAGGTAATTGTGGTAGATTAGGTTTTAATTTATAATTAATTTGGGCTAAAATTAAAAAATATATTCACCCCCTCTAGGTATTGTGTCTATTGGTCCACATGTATAATCATGAGAAAAT